AGGGGAGCCCCGGGTGCACCGACACAGGGCATGCAGAGGGGAGGGGAGCCCCGGGTGCACCGACACAGGGCATGCAGAGGGGAGGGGAGCCCCGGCCTCACCTGACACACAGCATGTAGTGGTTGAGCAGCACTTTGGGCTTGAGGCGGATCTTGATCAGGTGAGAGATGACGTCGACGTCCTCCGGGCCGTGGGTGTTACAGTTCATGCACACAGACATAAGCAAGTCCTGGGCCGGCCTGGTCAGCTGCAGGAGGCGGGTGCCTGCTCAACCCCGGCCCTGGTGGCCTTGTGCCCTCCCCAGCCCTCAACCGCACTCACCTTGGGGTTCTGCAGCCACATCTCCAGCTTCTGCACTGTCATGAGCCGCACCTCCTTGTACCCACAGGTGGAGGTGAGTAGCCGCAACAGGTTCCTGGAGACATTGTCGATGGGCTGGCGCCGGGTGAGCTGGTCCCGCAGCACGTCCAGGACGTACTCCTCCACGCTCTCCGCGAGGTCGTCAAACCTATCGGAGCAGGTGACGCCTCTTCTTGTGGGGCCGCCCTACCTGCTCCTGGCCCCCAGGACCCCAAGCCGGCAGAAGGGCCAGTGAGCTGGGGCGTGGACACCCACCTGGGCATGAGCTGGCCCTCCTGTTCGGGGCTCAGCTTCTCCTCAGCAATCAGGAGCTCCGTCTGGCTGTCCTCCTCCTCGGTAAGGGAGGGGTGTGGGCTGCTTCCTGTGCAGATGGGCCATGGCACTCACAGCCTCGTCCCGGTGTCCCCATAGGCTCCTTGCACCCACGTCCCGGCGTCCCCACGGACACCTCGCACCCATGTCCCGGCGTCCCCACGGACACCTCGCACCCATGTCCCTGTGTCCCCTGCAGGCACCTCACACCCACACCCTGGTGTCCCCACAGGTACCTCACACCCACGTCCTGGCATCCCCATGGGCACCTGACACCCACATTCCAGCGCCCCCGCAGGCACACAAGCACCCATACCCTGGCATCCCAGTGGGTACATTCACACCAGTGTCCTTGTATCCCACGAGCACACTCACACCCGCACCACCCTGGCGTCCCAGTGGGCACACTCACACCAGTGTCCCTGTCTCCCACGGGCACACATGTGCCCACACCCTGGCACATTCACCCCAGTGGGCACATTCACACCAGTGTCCGTGTCCCACAGGCACACTCATGCCCGCACCCTGGCATCCCAGTGGGCACATTCACACCAGCGTCCATGTCCCACAGGCACACAAGCACCCGCAACCTGGTGTCCCAGTGGGCACATTCATACCAGAAACCGTCTCCCACGGGCACACACGCACCCACACCCTGGCACATTCACCCCAGTAGGCACATTCACACCAGCGTCCCTGTGTCCTACGGGCCCACTCATGCCCTTGTCTGAGCACCCTGTGAGCCTGGGAGGAGAGTAGCCGTAGCCCTTCCCTTCATACTGGGCAACCCTGCCCTCTTCTGATCCCAGGGCTCCTCACCAGCACTGAGGTCCCCGCCGCCGCGGCCCGCCTCCCCCTGCAGCAGCACACTTTTGGGGGGCATCTTGGTGTTGAAGGCCGTCTGGATGTTGTCCACAAAGGCCTTGCAATGTGGGCTATCCACCCAGATGCGCTCACCCAGGGAATCTTCAATGTACACCTGTGGGCATGGAGCCCCACCAGCTGAGCCCACACCTGCACACACGCCCCCACCATCCCCCCCAAAACTGCAGGGTCACCTTCAGGGATGGAGCCTGCCCATCTGA